GCGTCATGGCCACAGCCTGCGACTGGCCCGGGTGAGGAAGATTGGAGGGGGTGCTGGTCGGGAAGCTCAGAAGGATGGTGGTGGCCTCATCGGCGCCGGTTAGGTGGTAGAGGGTCATGTGGGCAGAAATGGCAGAGGGGGGTTTACGTTGCTCCCGGGGGAGGGTGTGGTAGAGGGTCTGGAAGACCCAGGTCAGGGAGTAGATTCCCACTGTGCGATCGAAAATGGTCAGTTATCAATTAGTCGTTGTCATCATTCAGGGGAGGAGGGAAAATGGTAGGTAGACACCACATACAATCCAACAAACAACCACCCGCCAGATCCTTATTAACCATACGGTGTTCCGTACCCCATCTCTCCTCGACCGGGTCTCCGAAACTGTTATCAGAGATCACCCGCAAGACCTCACCAATAGCACCCTGCTTGATCAAGTCCCTGATCTGGATACTGAGAGGGAAGTAGCGAGTCCAGACAGCTTCCATGAGGAAGAGATTCTTCTTCTGGGCGGTCTCGCAGAGGATCTTGGCTTGAGCCGCATTGACGGTGAAGGCCTTTTCGCAGAGTACATGCTTTCCGGCGTTAAGAGCCAGCATGACATTCTGGAAATGGTGGGAGTGTGGAGTTGCGACGTAGACGACGTCGACGTTGGCGTCGGCTACGAGATCTTCATAGGAGCCATAGGCGGCACAGGGGGACGGGATGCCGGTGTCTGCGATGAATTTCTCTGCTCGTGCGGCGTTGGAGGAGGATGCTACAGCCACGACGGTGTGAGAGACGTCGGTGACGTTGCGGATGCTGGGGTCTCTTAGGAGATCGCGGGTGAAGACTATAGTGTTGATGTTAGATAGATCTGCTGACTGTGAGATTTCGGAGGAGGGGCTTTACCTTCGGCGATCCACCCCGTAGCTGTAGAGGCGCAATGCCATCCATGTTCGTTAGCCTGGGATCTTTTTGTTTGTTTGGTCTGGATGCGGGGAAATTGGTCCCTACCCATGATACCCCACCGGATATTGTGGGGAGCCATTGTGAAGATGGAGGACTGGAGATTTTCTTGGATGCTGAACAGGGATCAACAAGGCTAAGGAGTGCAGGACAGTCGCACGGATGTCTCGGGTTCTGAAGAATGTTCGATAGATGTCGAGGGGAAGTCAGGAATAAAAGTAATCCTAGCTGTGCTGGGCGGAGTTGCGCCGAGCGGGGCAGCTTCATTTGCCGACGTCATTCGCCGAGACTATAAAGACTGGGGGGGGGGTTAGTATCTATATATAGTGGTTCTACGTTATTAATCACATAGAAGACATCCAGGATGTATATGAATGACCTGATATTTGGTTCATCTGGTTCTACAATGGGATACTATATACAAGGCAGCGAGCCCGGGAGTGCTGTATGTGTCCTGTGATCCATCACCATCGTCACTTGCCCCGGAACGCCCAGGGGAAGGGGAATTCATTCAACCTTCCCATGCAAAATACAGCCGTGAAGCTGAATGAACGATGCATCTTCGCTCAAAAGCAGAGAATCATCAACAAAGAGTAGGAGAAGAAGAGAAGGGAGAGAAGGGAGTGTACACCCCGATCACACGGGCTCTGTTTTGATCCGTACATTGGATCCAGGAGAATCGGTTCCCTATGATACGTGTTAGTCACCAAAAATTTCTAGATAACTCTCATTGATGAATCACTCACCTCGGCCTTGCGTTTGCCCAAAACAGACTCGGGAGTCCCAGTTCGTCCTGACGGCGTCCCCCGGTTGGCTGGCGTAGGTCCGTCCTTGGTCACTTCGGCATAGCAACTGGCGTGGTACACGCGACTTCCCACCTTGACTGCGTCCTGCCAGATCCAGTCCTGTACATCCTCTGACCATGTCGACTCAAATTTCTCTTGGCAGATAGGGCAAGGGGTGTTTCGCAATGTCGCGTCATTCGGGGCGTGGATCCACTGCTTAGGAGGCCCCTTCTTCGTCGCAGCGCCGTCAGCACCAGCAACACCCTCAGCCGAGGCCTCCGTCTCCGCAAGGTCTTGTTCATCTCCCGCCTCACGGGATTTGATCCAATCCTGGAGATAGTTAGTACTGCAGGATAACTGGTTCGGAAATGGTGCGTGACTTACCCGTTCATCAACGTACCAGCTGCGGTTTTGGGCCCGCCTAGCTGCCTCAGACATGCGCTGGTTGGTTCGGAAGTGCCAATCCAAATGGCGAGCTTTCTTCTCCTTCCCTTCTTCCGTTGCAAAGAAACGTTGACCGCATGTTCCACACCGGTTTGACCGGGTCTCGTAGAGGCTGGAGAGCAGCATTGGTCGAGGGCTGGGGGTTCGTTTAAGTCAGTGATAGGAAAACCAATGTAGCAATGACACAGGAAACTCACATCTTGATGGACGCTGTACTCATTTGAACGTTTATTTGCGCATTCGATGTACCTTGTTGTGCCTGCGGCGTCGCGACGGGAGGCGTGACTCGCACCTGACCCGGTACGATTAGTGGGAAAGCAGGCGCGACATTTGGTGGCGGAGCAGCAGTGAAAGCGGCTGGAGGTGCCGAGGCCGGTGGAAGTAAGCCCTGCGCTCTTAGGGCTGCAATGAGAGGATTTTCTGGTGCGGCGCTGACGGATGGTTGCGGCGCGGTGGTATTAGTGGGCATCTGTGGTAGGATATTGTGGATTTGAGGCGGCGGAGTCGGCTGCTGACGTGTAGCAGTAGCTTTGAGGAGCCCGGCAAGCGTGCCAGGATTGAGGAGCTGTTGTAAAGGTTGCGAAAGTGTTTGGGCTGGGGGAGTAGCCATGGGGGGCGTTGAAACAGCCGGAACAGTTGGAGCAATAACTTGAGGAGCCGGAATTGCAGGCTTCGGAGCGAGAGCTGAAACCTGGTCGCGGACGAGTCTCAATTGCTCCTGGGTGAGTTCTTGCCGTTGCAAGATACCCTGAAGATCCAAAAGAGCCTTCAGTCGTTGCTGTATCGAGGGGTCTAGTGGATTATTGGCAAAATCGCTTCTGGCGGTGGCAATAAGAGCCTCAATATCTCGGTTGAGAGCCGCGAGATCAACCTCTGTTGTACGTGGCTGGGCTTGGGGAGTCGGGGTCCCCCGTGAAGAGTACGATTCACCCTGCTAATCAAATGAGACCTTCCGCCACTGTACTAAAATGTGAGATGATACTTACCGATGGTGGATATCCGTGACCAGAGCCATTGCGCTGGTAATGCATGGGTAAAGCCTGATTTGCAGCAGGTGGATGGCGGCCCATGCCTTGCGGTGGTGTCGGAGTGCTGTTCCACGCTGGAGGAGTGCCAACTCGACCGCGAGCGAGAATGTCTTGTTGAGTTCGAGCCTGCTGCTGCTGAAGCGCTGCAGTCCTTGCTTTGATCAGAGCACTCTCAATACTGCGAGTGATTTCTGGAGGGAAAACGGGCCTGGTGTCGAGGGAACCCGGCACCGGCTCCTTCCAGGTTTTGAGCATCTCATCCAACTTCTTGCGCGTCTGCGAATCGACCAGTGTGTAGGCGTTCATGAAGGTCTGATACAGATTGCGACCCAGGAACAGAGTGTAGGGCGTGCCTACGTTCTTGACAATCGAATCGACTACATACAAGGCGGGCAATTTCTGAGCCGGCGGAGTCTACAGAGCAGATTAGAATTCGTTCATCCCAAAGAGAGACTACAGACGGGTTGAGCGCCCTCGTCAGATTCGACGAGGGCCCAACCGGTGGTATTCTGAGAGCGTGTCACCTACTGTTCGAATGTGGTTCTCCAACACGCGGGAGATGGCCATCGCATGTTCAGTGTTCTCCTTGGCTATGACAGTCAGATTGCTGATCTGAAACCTGTCATTGTTGGTTAGATCTTCCAAGGAATTCTTGTAGTCCTCGGCAACTTCGTCGGAGGCCAACCCGGATGACATGGTGGGCAGATACAAAGGCTGGTGAGGCTGATGAAGGGGGAACAGGGGGCAAGTGAGAATAAGAAAAGGGTATCGACAAAGAAGAAAGAAATGAACAATGGACAAGCGCTAAAGAAGGGCGTAACACTCGGAAAGAATATTTATGTTCCTTGTGTTTGTTCTTTTTCCTCTGAATCCTCCTCTTTATATTTAATTATTTGTTTTTTCACTGAATTTTCCAGTTCCTTTCCTCTTCCTTGGACTTTGTTATCTTCTTGTTGTTTTCTTGCTTTTTTTTCTTGACTTTCTTCCCTTTTCTCCTTTCTTGTTAGAAACTTGTCCTTCTTATTGCTTTGTTTTCTCTCTTCTTTTCTCCTCTGATCTTTTTTCCCCGGCTTTGTCCCTTTTACCACCGTATATAAAGATTCCTATATCCGCGTGCTTTGTTTCTCTCCAGATAAACGTATCTCCTGAGTGCAAGAGATGGAAAGAGCTGTCGGAACTTGTAGAATGCTTGCTAGCTATCTTGGTCAGACTTGAGACAACAACAGGAGGCCGCAAGCGCAAATCCTCCACCAGAACCCGAAAGTCAACAAAGAACCCGCGCTACAACACCCCGTCAACCCAGTGTTAATCAATCTATCTCATACAATCACCCGTACTGATTGACCCTTCCAGTAGACAATAACTAGTAGAGGAACCAAACCGGGGCGAAGGGGAGTGGATGAGAGATGGAGGGGAGGGGGGAAGGTCTCGGAGTGAAGTTGGAAATACCCCCAGCAGTTACACACCTCGATGGGGAGATCGGAGGTGCAGAGGGGACCAAAGGAAAAGAAAACCAGCTGAATAGGAAAATCAAAGCTCGACCAGAATGACCAGGAAAATAGCAAAGCAGCCAAAATCGGCCGGGAAGAAGCGAGGGAAAGGGAAGCGAACAGGGAGCAGGAGAGGCAGGCAGAATTGCGGAAGTTGCGCTCACGAGGTCCGAAGAATAGAAAGCGTCAGCGCCGCGGCGTGACTGGCTGAGTCAGCGCACTAGTTTGAGACTCTGGTTCCTTATCCGTTACCGACTAACCCTATTCGGGCAATGCATTCCAGGTAGTATGACGCAGTCACACCTTACTCTCCCAACTTGACTAGGTACAACTCCTTCTTCATCGCCTCTATCTCTATATTACAACCACTGGTACTTGAATCTGGGCCTTTGTAATACTATCATCGGTTTTTTAGGAAATATTACCCTGTGTCGATTTCTTCACCATGAAGTTGTCTGCTACTGTTACCGTCTTGGGGTTGCTCCCCTTGGCCCTGGCCGAATCGATTCTGGTCACGTTCCCTTCAGGTACCCCTGACTCGGTGGTTGATCAGGCAAAGCAATCAGTTAAGGACGCTGTATGTGACCGGGTGCTTTGAACAGCGTTGGCACATCTATATGTTACTAACTGGCCGTTTCTGGTAGGGTGGCAAGATCACCCATAATTACAGTAAGCAGTTATCCCTAGTCATCCTTGCGTTTTGGGTAGTGGCAGTGCTAACAGATTGCTCTCTATAGCTTTGCTCAAGTAATTCTCTCTTGAAAGTCCTGAGGTGCTTGCTTGGTCTGACATACATACACACAGGGGCTTCGCAGCCGACACCAAGGCCGACTCGGTTCAACAGCTGTCAACTGAATTCGCGGCATACAATCCAACTGTCGAGAAAGACATGACTGTCACTATTCAGTGAGGGCGATATTGGATAGTCCGGGAGAAGAAAGCTCCCTTTTCTTTATTCCAAATTACTATTGTATGATGGATGGGGTTCCCGCTGGTTTCGGGGCTCGACCATTGATGGTCGATAATGGATGGGAAAAATTAGCTTAGATTGTAATTCAGGATTCTTATGTATCATTTGTCTTCTTCTGTTTCTGGAAAGAAAGTTTATGTCTTGTTCTTGTCTAATGAACCATTTAATGTCATAACTTTTGGAGCCGGCGACTGTTTCCCATAACTCAACAAACAACACAAAAGCAACCAAGATATGAATACATGATAGAGACTTCTTGTCACTTTTCCAATCTTTCAACCCATTTTCATCCTCAGTGGATGTCGTTTCACATGGGGAAAGTAGAAAATAAGGAAGCAGCGCTGTGGGTGACCCTAAACCATTCCTTTCCCCCCCAAGCGGGACTTCGGTATTTATAGCTCGTCGATGCGCGTAGCGTGGATCCCGCCTCCAACGCCCCGGAGGCGCTCAAAAAAGGATCTCATCGAGGCACAGTCCTTTTCCTCCGCCGTCCAGGTTTAAACTCAACCGTGCTGAGGGGTCGCAATTAGCCCCTCCTGGCCGCGATCCGAATACAATTGCCGGCAATTCCACAGCCGTTCCTGGAATTTGCAACAACCGCCGCGTTCCCCGCCCAGTTGATTGCCCCCGATTGCAGTCAACATCGCCGACCATGGCTGCGGAGCATACCGTCACCCAGGCCCTGCTGGAATGGGTCAACAGTTTCGCCTTGGGTAAGACTATCCGGACGACCGAGGAGTTATCGGATGGCACCATCATTTGGGAGATCTTGCAGGACATCGATCCGCAGTATTTCCTCGACGAGATCCCCCAGCGCGCCCCGTCCGACCACTGGCTATCCAAATGGCAGAACCTGAAACATATCCACAAGTTGCTCGTCAACTACATCCGCCAACAACCCGATGGCATGCCCACGGGTCTTGACCCCAATCCCAACCTCGAATTGGTCGCCGAAAAGAACTCCGTCAAGGAGGCCAACAAACTCCTGAAGCTCCTTCTGATCGCCGCCATCCGCTCCCCCAACGCGCAGACCTACGTCGAGACCCTTCAGAGCCTAAGTACCCCGACGCAAGAGACCCTGAAAAACATCTTCGAAGAAGCTCAGAATGGTCAGCATGAGGCTATCGATGGCGAGGACGATGTCAAGGAGGAGCGGGATCTGCCCGTCGACCCGGAACTGCAGTTTGAAGAGCGGGTAGGAAAGGTGTTGGCGGAGAATAACCGGATGGCGCGTGAGAAAAAGGACATGCAGAAACAGATTGATGATTTGCACGATCGCCTGGCGCGCCTCCAGGAGAACAACGATACCTTACAAAGCCGGCTTGCATCGACCGAAGACCGACTGGTCAACTTGAGGTCTGGGAAGGGTGATCTTGGACTCAGCGCAAAGGCTCTCGAGTCTAAATCCCGCCAACAGGAAGACATTATCGCAACTCAGGAAGCAAGGCTGGCTACAGCGCAGGATGAAATCGACAGTTTACGCATGACGGTGGAGTCGTTACGCGTCAAGAACCAACGATTCCAGAAGCTTCAGGATGACTATGATGAGCTGAAGACTGAGCGAGACCAACTCGCTCGTAAGGCGAATGCGGCCGAAAAGTACCGCCAGAAGCTGCAGGCTAGCCAGGACTTCGAGAAGGAGAACCAGTCGCTCAGGAACCAGATCAAAGATTTCCAGCAACAGCTGAAGGAGGCGGATTCGCAGCAGAAATGGAACTCCGAGCGTGAGGTGGAGCTTGAAGAATACCGCAGAGTTTTGCCTCGCATTGAGCAGGAGTGCAGTGAAATCCAAAACTTGAAGAAACAGCTCGAGTTCAACAACCATGCTCTCACAGAGCGACTCAGTAACGCCGATGAGCAGCGCGAACGTGATGATGCTTTGATAAGCGAGCTCCGTGAGCGAATCCGTGAACTGGAAGGTTCTCCTGGAAGCCCATCCCTGATGCCGGGTACTGAAACTCCCAAGCTCGAGGGCACTCTGCAGAAAGACTTTGAGGCGATCGGTGTGAAGGAATCGCAGCTGTTAGAAGACCCTGTGCTACAGCGACGGAGATCTAGGCTAACTCGCTACAGGAAATCTGAGAATGAAGAGCTGAAGAAGGAAGTGGAATCTCTGAAAGGGCCATCCGTATGTTTACATTTTATGGCTACTATCATCTTATATGAAGCCGCTAACAAGGCAATACAGGTGGGCTTGGACTTTTCCGATGCCTTCAATGAAACGCTGCAACAGGCCCGCGCAAATTCTTCGCAGAGGTATTTCCTACTACGAGCAGCCTAGCTAGTATAACCGCTAACGATGCATCAGTGATGATTACTGGAAGTTGTACGACCAGTATACATCTGCCCTCAAGAGATTGGCCGAGGCCCAAGAAGCTCTCGATGTATCCAAGAGATCGCTGAACGATGCGCTGGCGGAAAGTGAGTAGCTACTGTTCGGCGATATCCGTGTGTATGAAAGTTGCTTACACGAATACAGTTGAACTCTCCAACAAAGAGAACATGGATCTGATTGCCGAGATCAAAGCGAGCAGCGCATCGGATTTGACTAAGGCTCGTGAAGGAGAAGATGATGCTATGCGCAGACTGTACAATTTGCAGGCCGAGCTTGATTCAACCCAGGCCCTGGTCCAGGTCACATGTGCCGAACGTGACGATCTGCGAAACTTGCTCGAGAAGAAGCAAGCGGAGTTCCGTGCGGAAGATCATGAAGCCGCAGAGGAAATGAAGAAGCTGCTGGCCGAACTCACTGCACAGGAAAACGGCGATGATCCCGAAGCTGCTCAAAAGTCGGCTGTAGAGCTCATTAGACAAGTCGCCGCGCAGATTGAAAAGAATCTGGAGAGGCTGGCGAAACGTGCAGAGGTTAGTTACAAGAAACCCCATCGGCTTCCCTCTCAACTTGTGTTATTCCGAACCAAGCAAGGGCTATTCGCCTCGGTAGCCTCAGTGGCGACAGAAAACGTCTCGATCTTCTTGCGGATCGGCCATTTGGCGATTCGACCCAGATATTAGCAGCGAAGGCACCCGGTCTATCGCGCCTGGGTCGACTAATCGCCAAGCGGTTCAGGCGCTGAGGCTCGGCTGCCACCTTGACCCATTGATACATCCTATCCCATTTGCACTTTACGGCCTACAAAAGACTAATACGAATCATCTTGCAGTATATCCATCAACAGAACGAACACATCAAGTTCCTCCAAGAGCGGATAAAGCAACTTGAAGAGGATACGGATGATGGAATCAGCAAAGAGCGCGAGGTAAGTTGTCATTTGACACGGACTAGCTATTGCAAGCCACTAATATTCAAATTCTCCAAACAGCTCGAACTCCAGAAGATCATCGATGCTCAAGCGCGGGAGCTGACTTTGATGAGCTCTTCCTGGTACGAACTCCAGAATCGATTACAGAACAACAACATTGGCTTGGCCCGGTATCGGAATGGATCCCTGGCCGATGCTCAGAAGGGCTGGCTAGCCAGGCAAAGAAGCGTGGTCGCTGGTCGATAAAGCTCCGGTTTGTATGTTGGCGATATGGTTTACGTCCTATCTCTTCTTCGTACATGTCTTTCTAATTCTACCCTTTCCCTTTTTTCTCCCCTGCGCATTTTCCATCGTTACCAAGACTGTGTTTATTGTTGTTGCTATACCTTTTCCTTTCTACATACATATGTTTTTGTTGCTCGCCGCGCTATACCAGCTCGTTGCGGCTCAACTACTACGACTACTACTACTACTACCCCTGGGTTTTCCGTTGGAGCTTGATCGGCATTATAAACATATCATACGCACCTTTATGGCATTGTTGCATGTGTTAGACAAGTGTATATTTTGAAAATCTTTCTTTTTTCTGATTTCTAAAGACAGTGCTGCTTTTGACGTGACGTAGCCCATAGATGCAGCTCATAAAATAATATACATGCAGATAATACATAATTTTTCAGGAAAAGAAACCATATCCTTGCCGATGATCCATGATTCATCTAATTCAGCAGCATTACACCCACTGTCTAGGATGTTTCAGAACATCCATGATCTCCTTCTCACGTTCCTTGCCCTCGCCCAGAAGTGCCTCATCACCATCTACAGAATCCTCCGTCCGGGTTCCCGACACGGGGTCCATGTAAGCCCAGCTTGCGGTACGGGGCAAACTCATCAGAATACTTTCAATGCGGGCATTAGGGGTGCGGAGACCGAAGCTAGTACCGCGATCATAGACGAGATTGAACTCGACGTAGCGACCACGTCGAAGCTGTTGCCACTCCTTTTGCTCGGGTGTAAAAGGCATGTCCTTCCGGCGTTCGATAATGGGGACGTAAGAGGGGAGGAAAGAAGCGAGACCGTCCGAGACGAAGGAGAAAAGGGTCTCCTGGGGGTTCTGTGAGGAGGTTGACGAGGACTGGAGGAAGCTGGCGTCCAGGTCATCGAAGAAGATACCTCCTACACCGCGGCATTCGCGGCGGTGGGGGATATAGAAGTACTTGTCGCACCAGGCTTTGAACTTCGGGTAGTATGTGGCGTCGTGGCGATCACAGGCGTCTTTGATGGTCTGGTGGAAGTGTTTGGCGTCTTCGGGGAAAAGGTAGGTGGGGGTCAGATCTGTGCCACCGCCGAACCACCAGTTCTTGTCGCCATTGAGAGGGTCCTTGGGGTCTGATGTCTCAAAGTACCGGTAGTTCAGGTGGACGGTTGGGGCCATGGGGTTGTGGGGGTGGAGAACGAGGGACAGACCGGCAGCGAAGAAGCTCAAGGAGTCCACGTCGGCGCCAACAAAGGACTTGTGGTCTGCCCGCATCTTCTCAATGGCTGGCCGGGGAAGTTCGCCGTAGACGATGGATACATTCACTCCGGCTTTCTCAAAGACATTTCCGTCTTGAAGGACACAGGATATTCCACCTCCGCCGTTGGGGCGCGTCCAGGTATCAGTCTTGAATTGCTTTCCATCTATCCGGCTCAGCTCTTCAATGATTTTCTGTTGGTGATCCTTGATCAGCTTCTCCATGCGCAGGCGCATGGGAGATTGTTCGCTGATCGTGGCTTGCTTCTTGAGCGTTTCATCGAGTTCCACGAGGGAAGGCGAGTCGAGTTCGGTTACTTCTTCTGTCATCTGCATTGAATTTAGTCAGATTAAGACGTTCGCGCAAAGTGCATGGTGGGTAAAGCCTACCATGGAATATACCAAAGCACCGATGAAGGGCACACCAATGGCCAGCCGTAGGTATGGTCTCCAGACAGTGAATGGCTTGGGTTCGGAAGGGGGTTTCTGTTCCGAGGAGTATCTGCGAGAGGGTGCTGAGAGGTTGCGAGGTGTGCGACAGGATCGAGATGACAATTGGCAGAGCGACCTCCGAAGAGGCATATATGGCCGGGGAACAGCCATTGTTGCAGAGTAGATGGAATTGGCTGATCTGCCAAAGATCAGGTGGTGCCAGGTATAATGCCTGTCGAGAATCAACCGGTTGTTGTTCCCTCCGAGCTCCACCTATGGTCTAGAGCCAGTAGTGGGAGGGGATTTGGTAATGGAGGATTTGTTCAGATTATCGGCTCCGAGGCACAGTATGGGACCACCTGCGGCCTCGATATTCCCGAATGTCGTGAGGATATGAACTCTGTTTGTCCAGTTTGCAATGATTGTTGGGTTTGTCTGAACATGAGACCCGGCCCGGCTGAGATAAGCACCTTTGCATGGTTTGCAGGGCTGCCAATGCCAATGCCGAAGCCAACCCCTGGGTCCGAACACCCCCCAAGGCAGCAGCACAACATCAAGCGGGGTTGCTCCATGAGTGAAGAATGTGTCAGTCACTAGCGGAGTAGATTCTAACTACTAGGCAAATAGTGAGCGATCTTGAGTCACTCAACAGCAGTAACCAGATAGAGTGCAGGAGATGTGGGTGCTGCACCGAGCGGTAGACAGTAACCATTCTAGCATGGGAAACCCCATAATCTAGGCGCTGATCCTAAGTGGAGGCTGGAGGCATCGCCCGCCGAGCTACCACTTCACTACCGATGCAGTAACGCAAAGGCGGCCCAGCTCGATGACAACCAGACGGTATCATCCGCATTGGTCATTTGGATGAGTGCACGACATCCACGTGCCAGGATGACGACAGGAACTGCCCTGACGGACTGGCTTAGATATCCGAAAGATGATCGAATGTGCTATGAATCGAGCCAGCACATGACCCGACCTGACTCACGTGTGGGGCCGCTCACCGCCTCCACCCCGTGATCCACGCTTGCCTGGCGGCCTTATCAGCCGTGGAAGCCGTTCCCTCACCAAATGACGCGGGGCTGTCGCCTTCAACTCTCTACAACTGCCAGCCTGCTCACCTTTTGTCATCATCCATCTATCTCTCCATCCCATCCCATCCATCTATCCATCGACCATATCACCCTTGCTCTATTATCTTTTTAGCTTTCATCCAGTTTCTGTCACCCTTTCGCTCCTCTTCGTCTACTTCGTCACTATCTCCCCCTTAAGGGACCCGTCGGACCAGACCTATTAGCCGCCCTCATCAACTTATCAATATGCGTTCCAAGTTTAAGGACGAGCACCCCTTCGAGAAGCGCAAGGCAGAGGCCGAGCGTATCCGCCAGAAATATGCCGATCGCATTCCAGTACGTCTATCCTCTATTTTACATTCTACTGTGATTTTGGTTTCATGGTCTTTTTGGGGGGAGAAACCGGGTTCCTAGCTCACCGCTTGTTCGAGTCGCTAACCTAGCTTCTATCCTATAGGTAATCTGCGAAAAGGTCGAAAAATCGGACATCGCTACCATCGACAAGAAGAAGTACCTTGTCCCTGCCGACCTTACAGTTGGACAGTTCGTCTACGTGATCCGTAAGCGGATCAAGCTGTCTCCTGAGAAAGCGATCTTTATCTTTGTCGATGAGGTTTTACCACCTACGGCTGCTCTGATGAGCAGCATCTATGAAGAGCACAAGGATGAAGATGGCTTCTTGTATATCACGTATGCCGACCCCTCCGATACCCTAGTATCTCTGTTCTGCGTGCATAGTGCTAACCTGGGATCTTTATTAGGTACTCCGGCGAGAATACGTTCGGTGACTGCTAGGCGCTGGTCGATCTCATCTTTTCCCTTTTGGTCTGATTTCCCTGTCTCTTGAAGTGAATTCGCTGCCGTCATCGTTCAAGTCACTTCCTTCAGTTGCCTTTTCCTTCTTTTGGGGAAGTTGCAGATTGACTTCCTGGATGTAGGGGTTGGTTGCTGTAGGACAGGGGTGGATGGCGAGCTCGACCACGCTGTGATGTTTCTATGCTGTGCTGTACGCGGGCGTTATCTTGGGGGCTCTTCATTAATCTTCTTCGTGAACTCTCTTGGCGAAATGAGTATTCTTCTTCAGATGGTAGTTTAAATGAGAAACAATCGTTGCTATTGATGGAAGCTTGTCTTGTGTGACCGTAAATACAGGTTTGACAAAAAAATGTGCTATGTGATTGAACAAGCTACTACTACATGCTTTCCTGGACATGGAATAGTTAACTAGGTAGAATTAGCTAATGTATGGATTAGTAGTTTAGATAACTAACTAGGTTATCTAAAACCAGTTAACTAGTTTATCACCGGCTGCTGAGATAATCAGGGCCGCTCCGATCCAGGGCCGGTAGTGCCAGGCCCAAAGGGGGCTAGTGGCGTTGAAGCACCGGCCGCGACGCTTGGAGCGGTTCCGAGTCGGCGCAGAAACAGTCAGTCAGTCCATCTTTCTCGGTCTCTTCCTCTTCCTCTTGCTCTTTTTCCTCCCCTCCCTCTCTCGTGCATCCGCCTTACCCATCATCCTTTTCTTTGCTGCATTGCCTAGCCCCGGCTGTGGTCTCTTGTCCTGTATTTGTTGGCATTTCTGTCCTATATATAAATCTTTCCGTCCTTCCTCTTTCCTTCTCAATCGCCTTTTCATCTCCCCGACGGAAAAGAAGCCTCAGGCCCGGAAAATTTTATACTCTCCAATCTCTACCCCGACTACGCCCAACTCAGCCCAATTCCCATAATCAAGATGTCTCCCGCTATGGCCCAAGCCGGTGCTGGCTCTGCCGCTAAGGATGTTAAGAGAGAATCCGCGACTGCTCGTCTTCTGGGTTCCGGTATGTGTCACACCCATATTGTGCCCAGGGCGTGGGGGTTGCGCTCAAGGACTAACTCTCCGTCTCAGGAACTGCCGGAATTGCCGAGTTGATGGTCTTCCACCCTGTACGATTATACACTACCCTCTCGAATATTTGCGCATCGATTGCGCTCTTCTCGCCTGAGAAATCAAAAACTGACTCATCGACCAGGTTGATACTATCTCCAAGCGATTGATGAGCAACCAGACTCGGGTACAACACTTACTATCCCTTAGAAATGCATTGTACTAACTGTGCGCTTGCTTAGATTACCTCCACCGCCGGTCTGAACCAGGTTGTCTTCAAGGAATACGCCAACGCCTCTTTCGGCGGAAAGTTCACCTCCCTCTTCCCCGGTCTGGGTTACGCCGCCGGTTACAAGGTTCTCCAGCGTATCTACAAGTACGGTGGTCAGCCTTTCGCTCGCGACTACCTCGCTCAGCACTGGGGTTCCGACTTCGACAATGCTTTCGGCAAGGGTACCGGCAAGGCCATCATGCACGCCACTGCTGGAAGGTTCGTTTTTGTGTTCCCGCCATTGATAGTAACACTCTGGCTAATCATATGGAAATAGTTTGATTGGTATCGGAGAGATTGTCCTTCTGCCCCTGGACGTCCTCAAGATCAAGCGTCAGACTAACCCCGAGGCTTTCCGTGGCCGTGGTCTGTTCAAGATCATCTCCGATGAGGGTATGGGTCTCTACCGTGGTGCTGGCTGGACTGCCGCCCGTAACGCTCCCGGATCTTTCGCTGTATGCTCCCATGGTCCCGATTGTTGCCTTCTTTCTCATGTATAAGTGTTTGATACTAATGCCTGGAAATAGCTCTTCGGTGGTTCCGCTTTCGCCAAGGAGTACATCTACTCCCTGAAGGACTACAACACTGCTTCCTGGAGCCAGAACTTCGTTGCCTCCATCTGCGGTGCCAGTGCCTCCCTGGTTGTGTCGGCTCCTCTGGATGTGATCAAGACCCGTATCCAGAACCGCAACTTCGAGAACCCCGAGTCCGGCTTCCGCATCCTGTCCAACATGGTCAAGAACGAGGGTGTCACCAGTTTCTTCAAGGGTCTGACGCCCAAGCTCCTGATGACCGGACCCAAGCTCGTTTTCAGCTTCTGGCTGGCTCAGACGTTGATCCCCGCCTTCGGCCAGGTCGTTTAAGATGTTGATGATTAGCTGATCCGAAAAGCGAGTGTCTTTCTCATTTTCTACCCATATCCGGGGTTATTTTTGACATTATTACTTTTTATGTTCGATTCGGGGCTTTGTTTTGGTGCTGTTATAGAGCATTCATTCTGTTAAGCCTTTGTGTATTTATGATAGACTCTTTTTTCCCTTCGGCACTGTTCCGGATGATGGGTGCAAGATGGTATGCTCTTGGATACGAAATACAACTCCTCTTAATCATGAATTCTGTCAGTAGTAGATGTCAGCCTACTGGATTTGTTCAAAAGCATTGTAGCGCATTTGCAACCGGTATGCATCCTGGCTGCAGTCGGTATTGAAGAAAATGCCATTGTAGGGACTAAACGTTTAGAGTAGCTACATATCGACCAGCCACCAACTTTGCAGGTACATTAGCAGCACCAGCACACTGCCATCTACAACCTAACAAACATTATCATCAATCCGAATCGAGATACACCTCAACCAGCCTATATATCACGTGACCCATGACATCCGGCGCGGAGTTGCACCAGCTACAGCTTCCAACTAGTATCCATCTCAAGTCTACAACTCATCTTGATCCAGCGCACATTCTCCACCAGCCAAAACCTGCACAGCCAAGCCGCCCAAAATGCCAGTCTACCTAATCTCCAAGTACGTCGTTCTACCTAGCGCACATATATCCTAAATTCCCTCATTGCCGCATGCATGCACCTCTACCCATCCACCTACCTACCTACCTACCTACCTACCTAATATGAAGCCGACGTCGCATGGCAATAATCCCTCTCTACCTGTCCTTGAATTTAATCGACAGATCGCATACATACATACATACATACATACACCCAGCGCACATCATCAATCAGTACACATATACACATATCAAACATGAATACTAACGAATAATGCGAATTTTGGAAAAAAATAGAATCGCAGACCCAATCTTCGCCCTCACCATCGGCACCTCGGCGGCATTACTGCGCATTCAGCGCGACCAGCGCGAAAAGTTCCCCGATCAGGCTAAGGATATTGGTATTGGACATGTGGTTTCGGTGGGCGCGGGGAGAGTGAGGAGGTGGTGGGCGGGGGATTTTGAGGGGTTGTGATTGACTTCGTCTCTCTCTCTCTCTCTTATACCTACCTATACACCCCTGTCGCTCGATCACTGTGGACATTGCTTTAGTCCTTTTTATCACTGTTGGAGGTGGTGCTGGGGTATGATACTATGATGGGTGGTGGTGGTGGTGTGCGTTGGGGAAGAATTGGGGAGGATTGGATACTAAATGAGGATATGGATGTGTTGTTGGCGGGGAAGGTGCGAGGATTATGTTTATTTATGGGTTTGTTGGGTGAGGATGTGTGCTATATGGAAACTGTATATTATGGGTGGGTTGGGTAGGGCGTTGAGGGTTCTATTGTTATTATCAGTCACTTTGTGGGGTTGAGCGATGTTTACTGAATACATATGATGCGATGATTAATTGAAATATTCCCAGACTATTAACTATAAAGTACTAAGTAGTATCTTGGTTAGAGATCAAACTAGGCGGAGGGTCTAGACAAGGTAGTTCTGACGGGATACAACAAAGTTCAAATTCAAGTGAACAATAGGTGGGCAAGTTTTAGTATGAAAAGTCGATTGTATCTACAATTGCACGAATTCGAATTAAAGTAATGTATTCGTCGAAAGGAAACTTTTTCCCTCCCAGAGTCTGCAGAGCAAGTCATCATGCAGTAACAACTAGCAACTCGAATCTATGCATAGACAAAGAAAAAGTGATTCCCATAAATTCGTTAACATGATACTAGGAAAAAGAAACAAGCAGATCCATTAAAACCGCTCGCCTATCTGCAAACGGCTGGAGGTATAATGAAGAAAGAACAAGAAAAGAATCGAGACCGCAGCTGGTTAAAGCATTTAGTCGAGCTCCTCAGGGCGCTCCTCGACCTCGTCAGCAGTGCGGGTAGCACCGGGGGCAGCACCGCCGGGGGCGGCACCAGCGGCACCACCGTAGGCAGCGGAGATGATGGGGTTGGCAACACTGTAAGTCAAAAAGTTAGCACCATGATTCAAATAGTTTTTAGGATGGAAAGAGAAAAGGATGAACATACCCCTCAAGCTCCTTCTGCTGAGCCTCGTACTCGTCCTTCTCGGCGGTCTGGTTGCTGTCGAGCCAGCTGATGACCTCGTCAACCTTGGAGGTGACCTTCTGCTTGTCCTCATCGCTGATGGTGAGCTTGCCCTCGTTGATGGTGTTCTTGAGGGAGTAAGCGTAGGACTCGAGACCGTTCTTGGCCTGGATACGGGAAGCCTCAGCCTCGTCCTCAGCCTTGAACTTCTCGGCCTCAGCAAGCATGCGCTCGATCTCCTCCTTGGAGAGACGGCCCTTGTCGTTGGTGATGGTGATCTTGTTGGTCTTTCCAGTGCCCTTCTCGATGGCAGAGACGTTCATGATACCGTTGGCATCAAGGTCGAAGGTGACCTCAATCTGGGGAACACCACGGGGGGCGGGGGGAATGCCAGTGAGCTCGAACTTTCCGAGCAGGTTGTTGTCCTTGGTACGGGCACGCTCACCCTCGTAGACCTGGATCAGGACACCGGGCTGGTTGTCGGAGTAGGTGGAGAAGGTCTCGGACTTCTTGGTGGGGATGGTGGTGTTACGCTTGATGAGAGCAGTCATGACACCACCAGCGGTCTCGATACCCAGGGAGAGAGGGGCAACGTCGAGCAGGAGGATCTCGTTGGTGGACTTGGAGGAAGTGTCACCGGACAGGATAGCAGCCTGGACGGCAGCACCGTAGGCAACGGCCTCATCGGGGTTGATGGACTTGTTGGCGTCCTTGTTGAAGAAGTCGCTGACGAGACGCTGGATCTTGGGGATACGGGTGGAACCACCGACCAGGACGATCTCGTGGACGGAGGACTTGTCGATCTTGGCGTCACGAAGGACACGCTCAACGGGCTCCATGGTGGAACGGAAGAGGTCCTGGCAGAGCTCCTCGAAACGAGCACGGGTGATGGAGGTGTAGAAGTCGATACCCTCGAAGAGAGAGTCGATCTCAATGGAGGTCTGGGCAGCGGAAGAGAGGGTACGCTTGGCACGCTCGCAAGCGGTGCGGAGACGACGGAGAGCACGAGCGTTGGAGGTGAGGTCCTTCTTGTGCTTGCGCTTGAACTCGTTGACGAAGTGGTTGACGAGGCGGTTGTCAAAGTCCTCACCACCCAAGTGAGTGTCACCAGCGGTGGCCTTGACCTCGAAGATACCCTCCTCAATGGTCAGGAGGGAAACATCGAAGGTACCACCACCAAGATCGAAGATGAGGACGTTGCGCTCACCCTCGGCCTTCTTGTCCAGACCGTAGGCAATGGCAGCAGCGGTGGGCTCGTTGATGATACGGAGAACGTTCAGGCCGGCAATGAGACCAGCATCCTTGGTGGCCTGACGCTGAGAGTCGTTGAAGTAGGCGGGGACAGTGATGACAGCGTTGTTGACGGTGCCACCGAGGTAAGCCTCAGCGGTCTCACGCATCTTGGTGAGGATCATGGAGGAGACCTCCTCGGGAGTGAACTGCTTGGACTCGCCCTTGAACTCAACCTCGACGATGGGCTTGCCACCCTTCTCGACAACCTTGAAGGGCCAGTGCTTCATGTCGGACTGGACCTCAGCGTCGCCAAAACGACGACCGATCAGACGCTTAGCATCGAAGACGGTGTTGTGGGGGTTCATGGCGACCTGGTTCTTGGCGGCATCACCGATGAGACGCTCGGTGTCGGTGAAAGCCACGAAAGAGGGGGTAGTGCGGTTACCCTGGTCGTTGGCGATGATTTCAATGCGGTCATCACGGAAGACACCCACACAGGAGTAGGTGGTTCCCAAATCGATACCGACAGCGGGGGCCATGATGAATGTGTATGTGTGGTATGTGTTATGAGTGTAAGAGGAGGTTCGTTAAGTGGGAGAGAGAAGAGGGAGAAGGGAATTCGTTAGGAGAGAGTAGTGTACAAAACACAAAAGAAGAATGGGAAGATTGGGGTATAAAGAGGAAGAGATTGATGGAGAGAAAAAGAAATCGAGAGGGCGAGAATTTGTGCGAGAGCGAAAGCTGATATAGTGGCGGGCGGTGAGCTGCTGCTCCAGCGAAGCTTCTAGCAATTGCCCGTTTCGATGGGCATCCATCGGGTTCGACTGGCTTCCATCCGCGCCCCAGTCCTGCCCAGCATTCACTCGACCCTTCGAGAATTCACTCGTCAGGGTTTAGGGGAGAAGGGGGGCATTGCTACGATCTAACACTAGTTACTATCTCCCTCCCTCTCTCTCTCTCTCTCTCTCTCTGTGTGTGTGATGCTACGATCTACTTCCCTGCAGCATTGAAGATAGATAGATCTAGAATGACTCTTTGAGGGGATTTTTTTGGTGGGCGGTTGGCGGGGTAATCCGGATGACGTAATGGGCAGAATCCGAATTTTTTTTGACATTTTATTATTTTTGATTTGATTTTACAATCTTTGGTTCACAGCCATGACTCACTCGCGTGTAATTCACTTTTTTTGAGTTATTCTTCTTAGTTTACCATGTTAGTAGTGTTTTATTATTATCTCATGATACTACTGTTTCCGAAAGAATGAATTCCCAAAATGAATTGCCGCCCAATCCCCCCTCTTCAATTCCTAACCTGAGAAGAATTGTGCAGATAGTAGTAGAATAAAAGTGCTAATTGTACAACATAGCTTACTCTGTACTCAATTCTCACCCTGTTTGGGGAAGATTTTGGACATCCATGGAATTGGGCAGAATAGAGGCCGTCATAATGACGCTGGTTCATATCATTTTCTCCTCTCTCTTTCTTCTTTCTTCTCTTCGGAGAATTTCGATGGATTTTCCATACTTCCATTCTTGTTCTTTTCTTTCCCACGCATTCTTGGCCAGTCCAGAACTGTCACATGATTCGAGTCACTCTTGACAAGGTACCTGGCACAACATGAAATTAGTTATAACTAACGAGTCTAGCCCCTTTCTAGCGGAGCCATCAATCGCTCCAGCAATATTCCTCAAGAATACTCCTTCAAAGAATCCATTACATTCCACATAATATTATTCTCCGTTTTTGTAGCTGTATATCCATCCTTTTGAGAAACTTCCACTCCAGCTACCCCTGCTGCTAAATCTTCCCCGCGAATCAAAATCCGTTGTCTGAGAAACCGCCGCTGCACTGCACTCCAAACAAAACTTCTGTGGTTTGTCACTCTGCCAGTGTGCAGCAGTTCTAGTAGAACAAACTCATATCCTATTCGTAGTGACTATGTCTGATTATAGAGAGCAGTAATGGCAACTCCCTTGATTGCAGGGCCTGAACTTCTAACATTGTTTGTTATGAGCCCTCCCAACAGGGCAAAGCCCCATCACGGGAGCTGCAGCTGATCGCCACCCCTGGCAACCAATCATCGTCCCAATGCCCGCCGAGGTGAATCTCCCCTTGCGACAGGAACTGATCTTGCCTTGAAGAGTGAGAGAGACAGACGGACAGAGAGACTGTGTGTTATCCTCGCTGCCCTTGACACCGCTGCCTACTTAAACCCCACGCTTCCTGCTATCCCCTGTTTTCGAGTTTCCTGTTCCTTACGAATTTTCTCTTGCTCCGGAGCGTTTCCTTCCTCCTCGATTGGCTTTTGCCTTTAACTTCCAACACTCCTACCAATCCATCTTCAGAACCACCCTCCCGTGTACTACCACTACTCCTCTTCTTCATTCATCATGGGTGACAACAACCAAGCTACCACCGGCTTCGACCCTGCCGCCAATGCTCCCGATGCTGCTGCCTGGGACAAGGGCAAGGGCAAGGCCACAGACCCCACCCAAGACATGCGCATGGACGATGATGAGAGTGACGAGAGCGAGGCCGAAGAAATGGTGAGTTTCCTATCATCCACTGACTTGATCTCCCAAGTGGAACGTGTCCAGCTGACTGATTTCGTTCCTGTTCCGTTTAGGTCGATGATGGTATGATGCCCTGATTCTACTCTCCTCCGTTCATTGGACACGGATCTCGTGCTTCCTAGCTCGAACCCCGTACTAACTGCGCATCTTCACTGCCAGACGACGATGAAGACAACGATAACTTGGAGCCCATCTCCTCGGAGAACATCATCTCCGGTGGCCGCCGTACACGCGGCAAGAACATTGACTTCCAAGCCGCCGCTGAGAGTCTGAAGGATGAGGGCATGGACGAGGATGACGATGAGGACGACGACTACGTCGGCGCTGGTGATGACGACGAGGACAACAAGATGCAGGATTAGATTTTTGGATCAAGCTACAACGATACCAACACACACTTAGGGGCGGCGAGCGCACATGGGATTTGGGATGGATAGGCGCAGGGTCTGTTTTGAGGGTTTCTTCGGTTCCTTTATGCCGGTTACACTTTCATCTCTTAATCATATTATGATGTTTTTCTTTTCCAGGTTTTGGGATGGATACGGATCATTATGATTGCCTATGCGCTTTTTTGTCATTCCAATGTTATTTCCCGATAGGCACACCCTGGACCCTTTTTCTCGCCGGGCCAGGTTCGGCTGCAACTATCGCCTCGCAATGGGGTTCAACTGAGCTATCGCCTCCATGCTAAACTCACCTCATGTTCTGCAGAGGGGATCTATATGCAAATATCTCGATAATAAAAAAGAACCCATGTACATTGTACAAACAAATTTCTTATAATGTAGAGCACTTGATAGATTGTACTTTCTAGAGAGTCACGTGAGCTACCCCGTGGTCTCCGGGGATGGCCAGCTATTAGCTCTCCGCCGCGATTTGTCCTCACTGCTTCCTCTCCTCGAGAGCCTGCTCGCTCACCCATCGTTCCCCTGCTGTTTAGGGCCTCCGTCTTGCGACATGTGCCCCCGCTGGCTGTGATCGCCTCCTTTAAAATATCATTTCATATCCACCTTAACTCCTACAATTAATAATCTGACGATCTGTTATGGCTTCACGGTATGTTGACGTTATCCCATCTGTCCTTCGCCAGATACCCCAGCCGATACTGATTCCTGGCTTGTATGTAGATTCCCACGCTCCAACCTACACCAGCGCGATCCTCGTGCCTCCTCGTCCCTTTTCGATTCATACGGTGGCGGTTCTCGACCCGCCAGTAAATCCCCGGGCAGCGTAGGTGGTTACGGGTATGGAGGATACACGCCCCCGGCCGGGGATGGCTCCGTGAATGGCAACTCCAGGGGAGGGTTTCGTTCCGCGACCCCAAACGCCAAGTACGTTCTTACAACAATGGAGATAGAAGCTGGATCTAGACCTTCCCGTGCAAGAAGCTCACAATTCCGGTCAATAGGGGTCATTACTCCGACGCTGTACTCTCCCATCTAGAGTCTCAGAATGACGCAGAGGTCGAGGGAATCAGCGCCAAGGTCAAGATGTTGAAAGATGTGAGTTTGCTTCTTCTGCTCACCAAAATTGAGTATGTACACATGCTGATACCCCAATGCTAGCTCACGGTTGCTATTGGCGACGAGATCCGGGATACCTCCACCATATCGGACCTCAATAACACCTTCGAGAACACTCGTGTTCGTCTCCGCGGAAACATGAACCGTATGCTGCGGATGGCAGAGCGCACCGGCGTTAGCTGGAAAGTGTGGCTCGCTTTCTTCTTCGCCGTCTTCTTGCTCTTTTTCTACGTCTGGCTGACGTGAGGGACGGGACATGTTGCTGCTGCTGTTAATCTAGCCAAGCATGATATTTCGGGAGCTCTATTGGCCCAGTGCAACGGTTTTTCTCTTGGTATGGCTGTATAGCGGAGGGCCATGACCTTGAGCTATTTATCCATATACAGGGACACAATTGCGTCAATCCCTTCATCTTCATCCGCCCAGCTCCTTGCCCAGAGAACCCATGGCTTGAGGCCAAGGACGCTTCTTTCGACATCGACATAATTAGCATCTTTGCACATAAGCGGCCTATAGGAGCATACCCATTCTTCTTTCTTTCTCCCGCGACCGACAGTTCTACCTGGCTGGGCATTCATAAAGGTTGCATCCTTGTGCTCTACCGATGATAGTGCATGCTGGGAGTTTGGGCCTCTGCGATTTACGTTATGAATGCTTGCTTGTTCGGTCTGTTCGCCATACATAGGACGGCATCGGCTCTTCTGCTGTACAATGATATGTGAGATGTATAGTATACTAATTTCATACCCATCATGTCATCTACCTGCCTATCTACATGCATTTGATATATGAACCTTTTCGTTTGCAATACGATAGACATTCTTGACCACTACCTTGAACGTCATTTGTACCATACGTAATAGTTATACATATAGAATGAGTCTATTAAATTCTGTATGTGCCCAAGACGCCGTCTTCGGTTTCATGCAATTATATAAGCACAATCATCCCTCCTTTTGCGATATACCCAGGACTCCATAACCCCATTCCGAGGAACTATAGTACACTCATGCATTTAACAATTGAACTTGCAGTCATTCAAGGCTGTCTCTCGGCCCTCCCGTGCGCCGTCTCGGGAATCGACTAAAGAAACTCCGTCGGCTGCCCTGACTCGTCAAAGAAGCGCGGAGGTCTTCATCGTCGACGAGCATGCTGCTAGTGTCAAAGGCATCTCCGCCACCACTCCACCTCTGTAGGAACCGCCGTTGGGCTTCGGTTTCCCTCTCCCGTCGTATCGGCGGTGGCAGGCCTCGACTGCTAGTTGTACTGGCACGGAAGCTCTGCGTAAAGGGGTCTTGCGAGAAGCTTACATCCTCCTCATCGTCAAATTCGGCGTCGGTGTCGGTATGTTGCCATTCCTCTTCCTGCTCTGACCGGTCCTCGACTGCCTCGGGGATGTCATCATCCAGGTCCCGATCCATGTCTTCCTCGCCTTCGCTCATTCCCTCAACGTCGTAATCTTCTTCAGCTGCACTGGGGATATCATTGTCCAGGTCCGGCTGATTGTCAAAGTCGTCATTTTCTTCCTCCAAGTCTTCCTCATCCAGGTCATCATCGTCCGGGAATGCTTCCGGAATATCATCGTCTAGATCACGTTCCATGTACTCTCCCTCATCCACGACATCATCCTCTTCCAGCCCTTCCTCGCCTTCCTCAACCAGTCCATCAGCATCCGCGTCAGGGATATCATCGTCCAGATCTCTCTCCATGCCCGTGTCATCCTGGCCATCGCCATCAAAAGTACCTTGCGTCTGGTTCCCGAGCTCGTCTAACCCATCCACGCCCACCTCCGCCGCTGCCGCCGCTGCTCTCTCTGCCGCTGCGGCGGCCAGCGCCTCTTCTCGTTCTGCCTCCTCCTCTTTCATACCCAGCATCGTTTTGGGACACCCGGCCGGCCTGATCCACGAGTATCCGAACGAGGCAATATTGTTCTTACGCGCACGTAGAGCCCGCTCTTCCAACAGAAGGGATGAAAGCATATTTCCTGACGCAGAGGCTGAGGCACGTCCACCTAGCGCAGTAGAGCCATTGCGACGGGCATGTGGTTGTGTTTCTCCGGCGGACGGCTGGTGCTGGGAGGAGGTGCGGTAGGGTTGTGAGGAGCCGAACCAGAGTTCGTGAGACTATCATAGAAATAAATCAGCCAAGGATGCACTTCAATTGGAGGCCAAGGGTGTCTGTGTGAGGAGCTCGCAGAAGCTGATAGCACGTACATCGCGAGGTGTAATGAGTGGAAGGGAGAGCATTCTTGTTGGCGGTGCTAGCCTGAGATAACACAAGGAATATGGAAGTACTCGTTCAGACTCAATTGAATTGCAATGTATAGATGGAAAGAAGTTCGAGTGATTCTCACTCTATATAGGTCGGTTGGTTTTTATCGTGAGGTGGTTCTGAGCCAGAGTTGTTCCGTCGTCATGCGCAAGACCAGCTAGGCAATTTTATCGGAATATAATCGAGTCGAATTTGTGCTGCTAGATCAGTAGTAAGAGACCACTGGTAGATAGCTGAAGGGGGTATCTTGAATCTGTTTGGAGAGGAAGAAGCGGAATTGGAGAAATCGGAGAGGTCGAGAGGGGAAACCAAAACAAAAGCAGACAAGCTCCCGCGCGGGGATCTCCCGAATTACCGCATCTGGCAGGATGCGTCTCGCCGCTTCCTTTTGCGATTACTCTTTTACTGGCGAACTGGTCACGCAGCAAGATTGGAGATCTGTGTAACCCTTTCAAAGACACTAACAAGAAGAGTGTATATAGTTTGTTGGAGATTGCTTTGGAGTCGATAGGACTTGCATTGTGTTGCTTCATGTCCCATCTAGTACTCTGTACTATTCTAATAATATATATTCCGAGACTCAATTCCCGATTGTGTCACACTTCATACCTCGGACGGTACGAAGTAGTATTATCTAAATCGCCCATGATTCGACAACAGGAATTGAGCTGCATGGTACTTTGGGATTAGTATCGTGTGTTAAGCGGGGACTCCAGTCTACTACAGTACTAGATGAAGGATTCTTGCGAACTACTAATTAACCTTACCCTCATACAGACAAACTTCCCTGCACTTCCATCCTAGCGTCGGCCTCGTGTTGTGAGACAGACCATCCGGCTAAGTAGTAACACTGTATTATTCACAGAAGACTGGCTCATCGACTAACCAGTGACTCATGTCTCAAGTCTACTTGACTATCTACCGACGGACAAATATTCGTCCCTCAAACGTGCAGGTAAAGACCATATTCTCCATCGATGATTGGATCACTGTGCATATTGACATTGCTGCTGGCTGGCCGCATTGCAGCACGTAGACAGAGGCTTGCTGGACACGCCGTAAGCAAGGGAAACCCTCATGCAATGCCTCTGTCTGCTTCAATGCGTCGCACCAGCCAGACCAGAAACAAGGACGCATGCACAGCAGCGGTTGTATGTATCTATCTCTCACCCACGCTCCGCACCAAGGCCCGCATCAGCCCACAGCGAGGCATCCGGGGTTCTCCGTAGTCCTGCATAGCTGCCGAGTATAACTGCGCAAAGATCACCTGAAGCATGAGCCTAGCCAGCTGTATGAACTGTGCAAAGCAGCAACAGCGAGCCGTGAGAAAATCAGGCCATGGACGGACTACTCTGCTCCACCAATTCGCACAGCTGTAGATGTTGATCTGACATCCTCGTCAGGTCCTTCTGCAGGAGGGAAGCGTTGTCTTCAATAAAAGAAGGCTGTGGCAGTAGCAACTCAGAAATAGCCAGGATAGCCTGGAAAATTACACATGGTAGATCCAGATGCCATCCAGTCAGATGGAGACATTTTACTGGGTCTATGGCGCCTCTGCAGCGGGAGAGATGAATCAGAGTCACGCTGAAATTAATTCGGTCTGCATAAACACCTACCAAACCAAACCAAACCAAACCGTTTGGTACCTTACCGGATGCTACTGGTGTTGTTTGTTCCTGTAATCACGAAAACCGACCTCCTGCTGGCCGCCCCCCCTCCTGCCCGGTTTTCGGTCGCTTCCGTTTGCCAGGCCCGAGAACTCCCGAGAGGTTGCAGGCTCCCGCTCCGTTGTCAAGGTCACATTCGGTGAGCCCAAAGCGGACAAGCCTGAACAGGAAGGATCGGGAGAAAACGGACACCGGAAACATTGGCATCTCCGCTCGGTCATGTGATGCCCGTCGCTCCAAAGCGGATCCTTTCAGTCTGCGGATTGCCAAAAGGCTGGCCCGAAACGAGGTCTGAGATGCGATGGATACGCGAAGGGGGAGAATCGGAACAGCAGTTGCACCTCTGGACATAGGTAACACGGCAGCTTTGTTGCGTAATACTCCATCTCTCGATAGATCGATCCCCAGCAATGCACCAGACGCAGTCTTGCAATTAGTGATCATTCCACAGCTCCGAGTCATTCCATCCCTCTCGTGCCTCCCGAGCAAGTAAGTCTAAGAGGACCAGTAATTAGCGAGGCGTCAGGACACGCCCACTAGTAGTAGGTGCTATTGCTTGGCCGTTGGAGAGACAAGTGAACCACAGAGAGGATGGGCGAATTTCTTCGGCCTTCGCAGATCGGCCGAGAATATTAGTCGTTCAGAGGTAAAAGGAAGGAACCGTCTCAGTCATCCATCTCAAGACAATCCTTCCCGGGGAGCTCACGCCTGAAGCCGTGAAGCCAGCCCTCCAATCGGGCCATCCTCGTACTCATGCGAACTGTCGGACACCTCCTAGCTCCAAGTTTCCCGGAGCACGGCAACAATGATTATTAAGGATCTAGAGAGGGGGGGAAATGAAATTGGCTGCCAGTCTGGCATGGTGGGATCCATTGATCTGTCAGCCAGTAGAAGGTGAACACAACACCGTCCAGGCAACTCGGACGAGGGAGGGGGGGTAAGGGTAAGAGTGGGAGATTGGAAAACAATTGATTTATGTATTACCATAATCATACTCATGCTATTAATTTTCGAATAAATAAGCTCTTATCGGGCCAGGGTTCCGAGTTAGCCAGCATAAAACACCCCCGTGATTATTCCGAAGGGGAAGAAGGAGGGGGGATAGGAAAAGGTTACTAGTTCGATAGCTGGTGAAAGGATACGTTAGTATGGGCAGATCCCGACCTGAACTTGACCAGTGTAATCAGAGCCATACCGGCTTGGTACCGCTCGTATTTCCGGGGGTGTTGGTGTGTGTTCTTCCTGCATGCTCATTGGTCGGGGCCAATCAATGGCCACGGTCCTACTCCTACTCCGTCCGTTCAGTCCTGTCCGGAGACCCGGACAAGCCCATGGGAATCATTTCACGGGGAGGGTGGGTTTTCCCCAGAAAATTGACCTAGGTTTGGGTCAATGGAAGGTTTCAAAGATCTACGGATGGGACGTCTAGATGCCAGATGGACAGATGGGCGTCGAGTAAGAATGTGGCTATTTGAAGAGGGTGACTGATAAGAGGTTTGGATGACCTCAAGAAATGAGCTTGAGAAATTCGACCGGGTCGAACCCACTGGCATTCTTGGAAACGCAAGGTGCGTCTCGGGGGCAGTGGCGGGCCCCGAAATCGGCGGGGCAGGGGTACGGGAAAGCTACTAGGCAGTAAGCTACGGGTGAATGTAACGGAGAGAAGGCAGCCTAAAAGACTGTACTAGAGGGAACGTGGCTCGGAGAGGGGTTGGGTTAATTGTTTGGGGAGGGAGGGAGGGACTGAGAGGGAGGAGGGATTCCGGGACGGATAGGGAAAGGTGCCTAGCTTGGCCGTTGTCGGAAAGGTTGGGCTGACGGAAATTCAAAAAAGGTGGGCGGACAACAGCACTCAGCCATGCTTCTATTGCTGAGGTGAGTGGTACCGCTCCGTGCCAGTAAATTACCCACCATTCCACCTGGCCAAAAATACATATACCGGTTACAACAGCGTTTACGCTTGTAACGGGCAAACTTACCAACTTACCACTGATCGCCCGACCACCTGCACCTCAGCGTGGGGTATGCGAGTTTTAGTTCAAATGCTCTCTCTTCTGGCTTAGGATGGGCAAAGGAAGCGTCTGTTTCTATTAGGGCCCTCCCTCGGTCTAGAGAGCAGCCCACGGGCGAGATCACCTATTGCCCAATGCACCACTTAGCGCCTAGGTCAAAAGTCCTTCGGTTGCAGTCCTCTTGCAAGTTGCAGGCCGCGTGTGCCGGTTGTTCTGCCCTGTCCCTTTTTTTTTTTTTTTATTCTTTCTTTCTGACTATTTCCGATTGATCAACTTCACAAAGATGTTTAGGCGGCAGATTTATGCACCATGCAATCTATTGCCTAGCCTAGTCGGAGAAGCGAGTCACCAGCCTAGTATGGGTGCACCTTACCACTTCGTAATTCCTGTGGTATACGATGTAGGCAGAGGCCACTTGCGGGCCGTGTACTTAATCACGGTATACTGACACACACCGTAGGGGCCACCCACTTCCTCAATTCCTATGACTACATCCCAATTACTATGACTACAAAAGTTCATCTCCCAGGACGATCTGGGATTTTCTCTTATACATAGAAATAATCGACTTGGAGACTTCATCTCCTTACTGTTCTAATGTGACGCCCAGTGCCTGCCAAGCAATTTTGGAGTAGAAATAGAATTGCTTCTTTAGTAACCTTTAATTTTTGCAGTGCCGCCGGATTTGTCTTCTTTTCCGGGTTTCCCAGGCCACTTGGGGATGACTTACCATGTGCAGCAGCGCACTTTCAGCACAGGCCGACCAACTGATTGGGACAGAATCGGGGATAAGCACTGTATCCCTGCGTTGCCCCACTTATACAACGCCCAATCATTCCATCCAGCTGGGCCCTTTCCCTCCTGCTCTGGTCGAACAGTTGGAGGAAGATGAGAAACTGCGAGTCGTGTAACTAGCCCAGACGGTCTCACCAACCATTGACCATCCTAGCCATGGCTTGCACACGGGCATTGAGATGGGCTCTCTGGTATATGTGGTGCTCCAAAAATTTAGTAGGTACGGAACGCTTGGCGTGTCTATGGGGCTCCTGCTCGGTACTTTCTACTACCTGCTATACGTATACACTCCTACTAGTGTGTTGCAAATATTCCTTTGACTAACAGTGCTTGCACCACCCAAGGCACACTGTAGCTCATGATATGAACGGGATATTTGCGAACTGTTGGTAGATACAGTTGAATTGGATTGAGATTCGATCATAGCCGTCACGACCAGGATTAATTATGCGAGCATATACGAATTAGTGTTCAGGGAATAAGACCACCAGGTACCTACAGTGGTTTGTTATTCGCATTGATAGGTTTCGTACATTGGACCAGAGAAAGGTGACTTATGATCCCATGAGCATGAAGTGGAACAGGCCACCCAGGGCATCTACTTCTTCCATTTGTGGATGTTGTAGGTATCACCACCAGGACGATCATGTTCCGGTTGATCCAACCTCTCCAACAGCTCTCTGGGTCCTCTTCTGACCTGACTGGGTATGCCAGCCAGCCCACTTGATAGAAGGCCGGCCAGGTCTCTCACCTGATGGGTCAATTTGTAATTAAGAGTTATGGTGCAGACTTGAATGCCAGAATGGAGCTCTGCATGATGGGGGAAAAAAAACGTTTCATGCCCACTTGGAGGCAGTGCATTAATACAATGGAGACCAAATACTACTACCACTTTGACTACTACTATGTTGCGTCCCGTAATCTGATTGAATACCACAAACTCGTCGTTGCCCGTATTGAACGAACGAGGGGAAACAGCATTACGGGACGATACGAAAGAAAGTACCCAGTAGACTCCCACTAGCGCCGTCAGCGGACAACCTTTTTCTGTTTCCCTTTTTCTTCTTTTTGGCCCGGGCCCCACCGGCCTGGATCTTGACGTAGCCAAAACCTAATCTTTCTGCGGAAGGTTGTAAAACCGTCATGCTGATTGGTGGACGCTAGTCTTATCTCCTTCTCTAGAACAAATCCCCGGCTGGAGGTGAAGTACTGTAACAGTCAGTTCAGTCTCCCTTGGTGAATGGGAAAAATGGCTAATCTCTCTCTCTCTCCATTCCACCTCTCTCTCCCTTTCAATACAATGAGCGGATGGAAAAGCTTTCTTCTCTGAGACAAGTCAGAAACCCTGCTGCCAGACTAACTAACAAGCCAGACAACATTTTTAATCCACAAAAAGTCGACGTAAGCCACTCACTCTTACACCACCCACCTTCTTATTTTATTATTATTATTATTATTATTATTATTATGATTATTATTATTTTTTGCCTTCTGCACCATGATGACAGAAGCAATAACAAACTTACCTCTTGTAGATCACCATCGTGTATGCATATGGAACTACATCATACACGGGATATTCTGGTGACTGCCGGCAGTGATGCAGCAGAGAGAGGGCAACAGAATGATGAATGATTGATGGGATTGATTGTCATTCAATGCGCCTTCCCTTCCACCCACCCCCCTTACAGTACCCTCCGTAGTCTACTCCGTAGTAGGCGCTAGAATTCATTGCCATCTGCCAGCCCGCATTAGTTCCTTTTTCCCTGCGCCCGTCAACAACCACCGTCTGACTGCTTACACCTGCCTGGCTTTAACCTACTAACTACAAACTGTCTTTCCTTTTTAACACTCCGTCTTCGCTCCTGAAGCTAGGTAAGCTACGATTTGCCACGGGAATCTCTTGATCATCCCCACCTTCGGTAATTTTCGGTTTCCGTACCATTTGGGTGTTTTTAGAGTAGATTGGATCTGGCGGTGGATTCACCCGACCTGAGCCTACTACTGGAGGTGCGTTCATCCGCCCAGAAGACCGAGAAGGGAAGGGGGGTAACCCCAATTTTACATACTGGTTTGGTACGGAGTATCGGAGGAATCTCGAGGTGAATCCCCGGACCGCACCCCCCCGTAGTAGGAGCTCCCGCTCTCTCTGTCTGTCTTGCCCATTTTATTATTCCCTTCCCTCCCTCCCCCTCCCCTGGTCGCTTCTCTCCTTCTCTCCTTCTCTCTCTCTTCTTTCTCCCATTATCCATCCCACAAGGAGTCAGACGCTGGGCCATCACCATTAAAAGTTTCTGAATTTTGCCCCTTCCTTGCCCGCGTCATTGTACACCACTCCCCCCCCGTCTTTGTGACGACATCGTTCTTATCTATAACAGAACGAATTGCCCCCCCTCCCCCGCCCCGACTTGTTCCGCGGCGATCCCATTGTCCCCCCCAATCAACAACCACACCAATTCCCCTAGATTCGCTACTCCATTTTCTGTCGGCCACCGGCGGAAGAATGGGTCTGAACTTGGAGGAACTCTATGGCAAACCTATAGTGGACGAGGAGACTCCGAATGAGTATTCGGAGTACCAGCCGAAGAAGGGATATGGCTGGGCAAACACCTTGCCCGAGAGGCAAGGTCTTTATGACCCCGAATACGAGAAGGATGCTTGTGGTGTAGGCTTTGCAGCGTAAGTGCTCAGCAGGGAACCATCTCCCCCTCAAGGAGTGATCTTCCTATGATTGCGCCCTGGGCTTCATGGATCGACGGGCTAACAGCAACTCTCGCAATCTAGTCACATCAAGGGCAAGCCTAGCCACAAGATTGTCAGTGATGGTAAGCATCTACAATCCTATATTCCTGGTAGGGTTGGGAGTATACTAACCGACTTCTGCAGCTCGCAATTTGCTTTGCAACATGACCCATCGCGGTGCCGTTGGCTCGGATGCACGCGATGGTGATGGTGCTGGTGTGATGACCAGTATTCCCCATAAATTCTTTATCAAGAACTTTGCCCGTGAGGTCGGAGTTGATCTCCCTCCCCTCGGTCAATATGCTGTCGGCAACCTGTTCTTCAAGCCTGAGGAGGAGTCCGTAAAGGAGTCTGTACAGAGCTTCGAGGAAACTGCCACATTCTTGGGACTACGAGTGTTGGGCTGGCGTGAGGTACCCCGCGACTCTACCATTCTGGGCCCCGCCGCTCTCTCCCGGGAGCCTACCATCATGCAGCCGTTCGTCGTTCTGAAGTCGGCTTATGGCGAAGGAAACAAGCCAGAGCTTACCGACCCAGAGCTATTTGACACGAAGACTTTCGAACGTCAATTGTATGTCCTGCGAAAGCGGGCTACTCACGTCATCGGTCTCGCCAACTGGTTCTATCTGTGCTCCCTGAGCAACAGAAACATCGTCTACAAGGGTCAACTGGCCCCCGTTCAGGTATACCAGTACTACCATGATCTGGTAAACGTTGACTACGAAGGTCACTTTGCTCTCGTCCACTCCCGTTTCTCTACCAACACATTCCCTTCTTGGGATCGTGCACAGCCCTTGCGCTGGGCCGCCCACAACGGTGAAATCAACACCCTTCGTGGCAACAAGAACTGGATGCGCGCCAGAGAAGGTGTGCTGAAGTCGGACATTTTCGGTGAGGAGCTGGATTCCCTGTACCCCATTGTTGAGGACGGTGGTTCCGACTCGGCGGCGTTCGATAACGTTCTTGAATTGTTGATGATCAACGGTGTGCTTTCATTGCCTGAGGCGGTCATGCTTATGATCCCGGAAGCCTGGCAAGATAACCCGGCTATGGACCCGGCCAAGGCTGCTTTCTACGAATGGGCGGCTTGCCAGATGGAGCCGTGGGACGGCCCGGCTCTCTTTACCTTCTCCGACGGTCGCTACTGCGG